AGGAAAGATGACAAAAGGTCAACAATTTCCAATGTGTTGTACATACCAGGCATGAAGAGTAATTTTCTCAGTATAGGACAGCTTGTCGAAAAGTACTACAAGGTAGTTGTCGAAGACAAGATGATGAGAGTTCTTGACGCAGGTGGTAGATTAATCTTGAAGGCTCCAATGTCTCAGAATAGGACTTTCAAGATTGAACTCAATGTGATGGAGCACAAGTGTCTAGCAACTACAGCCAGCAGAGATGAGTGGTTATGGCATTTTCGACTAGGTCATCTTAACTTTAATGACATCAGAGAACTGAAGAGAAGAAATATGGTTTCAGGATTACCACAAATCGACATTCCAAGGGAAGTCTGTGAGGAGTGTGTTTAGTCGAAACAACACAAGAATAGCTTCAGCAAGGATGTAGGAAGGAAGTCGAAGGCAATACTTGAAGTCATATACTCTGATGTATGTGGTCCAATCCAGGTGAATTCGATTAGTGGAAATAGATACTTTGTCATGTTTATATATCATTACAGTCGAAAGTTGTGGACTTACCCCATCAAGAAGAAAAGTGATGTGATTGAGGTATTTTCCAGATTCAAGTCCATGGTCGAAAGACAGAGTGGTCGAAAGCTGAAAATTCTGAGGACTGATGGTGGTGGAGAGTATATGTTGAAAGAGTTCGATACACTATGTATAAAATAAGGGATTGTGCATAAGGTGGTGCCACCCTACACTCCACAGCAAAATGGGATTGCAGAACACAAAACAGAACCATCATGAATATGGTGAGAAGTATGTTGAATGGAAAGCATCTACCCAAAGAATTATGGGGAGAAGCAGTTTCACCAGCAACATATATATTGAACAGATGTTCGACGAAGAAGCTTGAAGGAATCACACCATAAGAATGTTGGTCTGGTGTCAATCTCAGTCTCATTCACTTAAAGGTGTTTGGATCTATAGCACATATACATGTGCCATATCAGTTGAGAAGGAAGCTTGATGATAAGTCGAATCAGATGATCTTGATAGGATATCATTCGACAAGAGGTTACAAGCTATTCGACCCAGTGAATAAGCAGGTAGTGATCAGCAGGGACGTGATCATAGATGAGCTTAAAGAATGAGATCGGGCTGAGAATGCCAAAAAGGATCAGTGAGAATCTCTTGTGAAGAACCAGCCACTGAAGTCGAAATAGAAGTTCGACAGGAACCAGTTGCAAATGAAGCAGGTTCAAGCAAACCTCGACGAACAAGACACATGCCTGTAAGGTTGCAAGAATATGTAATTACATCATATGATGTATTCGATGAAGAGGGTGAGCTGGTACATTATGCTTTCTACGCAAATGTCGAACCAGTCAATGCAGCTGAGGCATTGAAAGATTCGAAGTGGGTGAAAGCAATGACTGAAGAGTTGGAGTCCATCGAAGTCAATGATACCTGATCACTTGTTGAATTTCCGCAAGGCAAGAAGGCAATTGATGTGAAGTGGGTTTACAATGTGAAGGTAAATCCTAAAGGAGAAGTAACTTGACACAAGGAGAGACTTGTGGCGAAATTAAGAATTTCTTCAGAAGGAAGGAATCGACTTCAATGAAGTATTCGCACCTGTTGTTAGAATCGAAACAATCAGGTTGGTTGTTGGTCTAGCAAATATGAGCAAATGGCACACATGTTAGATGAACGTGAAGTGTGCATTCCTTAATGTCCCCTTAGACGAAGAAGTTTATGTTGCACAACTAGCTGGATTTGTGAAACGAGGCGAAGAAAGAAATGTGTAGAGGCTTCATAAAGCCTTGTATGGACTTAAGCAAGCACATTGAAATGAGGTTCCATTATCTTTGAGAGCAGGTAGCAGAAGGGAAGATGAAGTTGGAATTGCAGAACTGAGAATCAGATTGCAAATATCATGATGAAGGGAGTACAGGTCGAAGCCTTCAAAAGACTAAGAGTCATGATAAATGTAGACAGTTTAGACACAATAAATTAGGTGGTGTGTTAAATGTAATTCATAGTGTGTCGAAGTCGAAATAGCAAGGAAGCAGTCGAAGTCTAAATCAAGTGTCGAAACTTTCAGTGTGTCGAAACAGTTTGTTTTGACACAGATTTGTTTTGATGAGATTTGATTTGATTTTGAGTATTTTGGGCCTTTCATTTTTTAGGCTTTTGTAAATCTAAAACTATAAATAGATGCCTTGCTTTGTAATCTATAATAGAACAGATTTCACAGTTGCAGAGTTTAGCAAGTGAAAGTTCAATAGTAATCAGAAATTCCACAGTTTGTGGGTAACACAATTTTCTCCAAATATTTCTTCTCTCATTCTTCTTCTCTTTTGCTATTCTTGATAACTCTTTACTTGTTATCACCATTACTATCATATTGTGCGTTTGTTCATCAATCTTGAGATCAAGATTGAAGGGAATTCTTCATAGGGTGTGAGGTGAATTTCTAACATTTATAAGTAAGAGGACTCATACACCTTTTGGGTGATTATGTTGTGTCTCTCTCATTTGTTTGGGTGAGTTTTTAATCTTTAAGTGAATGTTTGACATAATGTGAATGTTTTCCCCTCTTGATTACCATCAGATTTTTGGTAGCTTTAAGCATGAAAATAAAGCTAAACTAAATCTCTCATTTTTGTGAAACTCAGAACATGGAAAAGTACTTTGGTGTGCCTCTAAGTGGAAAGAGCCTTGGAGAGATTATCAATATCTCTTGGAACATATTTCTTCCAAACTAACTAGCTAGAAAACTAACCAACTTTCTTTTGTAGCTCCTGCGTTACGTTAACAGAGAGTGTATTATAGGCGGTTCCTATGTACCCTATGTTGACAGATATCCTTCCCAAAGCATGCATTGAAGAATACAATGTATTCAGAAGAGATTTATATGTGGGGATACCATGGAGAAGCGAAAGTATCCTGTAGTAAGTTGGGATATGATAACCAACCATAAAGATGTGGGGGTTAAGGCTAAGAGAGCTTGATCATATGAATAATGCTTGTTTCGTAAAACTGTTATGGAAACTGCATTATGATGGTAATGATTTGTGGTGTAAAGTTTTGAAGAATAAATATTGTGTGTCTAACATCAAAGAGTGGAGAAGTAGGAGTCGTGATTCAAAGCTTTGGAGATACATCATGAAACTGTTGGCAATTGTGAAAGATCGTGGAAGCTGGAGCATCGACGACGGCTCGGGTATAGATGTTTGGCGTGATTGTTGGGTTGAGTCGGACATCATCATTCAAGATCTGGATGTGGACATTCTTGTAGAGTTGGCTAATGCTAAGTTGTGTGATTTAGTAAATAATATGGGAAATTGGGATTGGCAAAGATTTCACCTGTGGTTGCCGAATTCGATAACGCAAAAGATTAAAGCAATTGTTCCTCCTAACTCTGATTGTGGAGATGATGTATTTCTTTTTGCTGGAACAGGAAGCGATGGTTATTTAGTTAAAAATATGTATATTAGTTTGGTTACATGGCTGGAAGAATTGTTTCAGACTTTTTCTCTATGAATACGACGGATTGGATTGATTTGAATTTGCATGAAAGCAACAATTGGGTTAGTTATTGGGTGGTTGGATGTCATAGCCTTTGATATTGGCATAATATAGAGATGCATGATGAAAATTATAATAGACATTTGTTCTCAGGGAACCATGTTCAAGGAAGAGTGGAAGGTTATTGTGAAACTATGAAGAGTAATGTGATTGTTGCTCATGGAGAAAATTTTGTGGTTATGGTTGGATGGAAACCACCAACAGAAAAATGGATCAAGTTTAATACCGATGAAGTTTGTTTTGTAGGGAGAGATTCTAGGTGTGGAGGTATTATTCGTGATATGCATGGTGGTTGTAAGGGTGATTTCTTAAAACATATTGGAAAATGCAGTGTGCTAAGAACGAAGTTATGGGGTATTAATGCATAGCTATCCCTCACAAAGAGTTTAGAATTCCAAAATGTATAGCTAAATATTGATTCTTCTACCATTGTCAAAATGCTTGAAATGGAAAAGTTTCGGCTATGAATGGAGCCTCAATGGTTAATCGGATTTTACTCTATATGAATGGAACCTCAATGGTTAATCGGATTTTACTCCTTATAGAGATGCATGATAAAGTAAAGGTGGCTCGATCTTATAGGATGGCAAATACGTGTGTGAGTGCGTTTGCGAAAGTTGGATGTTTATTACCAAAACTTATGTTTAACGGATGTTGATAATTTGAAAAAACCTATTTTATGCACAACATATGGTAATAGGTCAACAACTTTTGGAGCAACCCCTTATCTTTTATTGCCTATGCCTCTTAAGACCATACTTCTAGACATAGAGGGAGTTATAACTATGATAGAGAAAGAAATAGAGATGACACACTTCATATATTAGTATAGTCTAATTCTCACACATTTCTTTATTCTCACAATTTTTTCTCATTTTCTCCTTCACAATACTCACAATATGATTTTAGTTTTCCATTAATTTTGGAAGGACTTGATTCCTATTTTGTTGTTGAAATACTGATATATCTCAAAGTAAGGAACTAAACCCATCGAAAATTAATGAGACCAAAATATATATAAAGTTTTGTTGTTGTTACTATAGAAATCACAACCAAGATTTGGGTTTTTAAATGAAGGAAAAATATGGATGAAGGAATGTTGTTTAAATGGTCACTTGACAAGCAATTTTGCTCAGAATATCTAAGTTGTGATTATGTGTTTTTTTTTTTTTTACAATAATATATGTGTTCTTTGATGGGTTGAAAATGAAGAGAAAATAAGATGTTTAGAGCTCATAGCCAATTTCATACATTGAATATAGTCCTAAACATGGAACAATACATCAGAACATCACAAAAAACAACAAATTAATGTTGTCATGGTGAAAAGTGAAAACTACTTGTGTCACTAGATGGCTGCATATTAACATCATAAGGCCACAACACTTGGTACCCAGAAGGATGTCTATTTTTTTCCCTTGATTTTTTAACCTGACACAGCATTAATCGTCATCTTCTTCTTCTTCAAACTCGTCTTCCTCCTCCTCATCTTCGTCGCTGTCCTGTTCCTCCTCACCGTCTTCTTCATCAGTAACAATGAAACCTCCTAGCGTCTCATCATCATCATTGTCATCATCATCATCTTCTTCTTCTTCTTCAACATTTTTGTCGAGACTAGATGTTTTCTTTCTTTTAGCTCCTCCTTTGTCTTTAGACCTTGTGGAGTACAGAGGTTTCTTACCTTTCCCCGTCTTAGCAACAAGGTCTTTATCATCTTCACTATCACCGGTCCACTCGTCATCCTCATCGTCTTTAAATACTTTTCGCTTTCCCTTTGTTTTCCTCATCCCTTCAAAATCATCCTCATCGTCATCCTCGCTTTCTTTGCTAGGCTCCTCAAGGAACCATTTCCAATTCTCCACATTCTGGATCATGCCCTTTGGATACAGGTCAAACTCATGTCCCATCCCAAGAAAGCCAAACTCTGCATTTTCAAAACCACAATATCTTCAAAAATATTCAAGAAACTATCCCCGTGAATTCAAAAAACAAACTCGTACCTAAACGCTCACAAAAAATAACCATCATGTGAACAACTGCTAAACTGACATGAACTATACTTCCCTTAGAAGGTTTCCCATTATCAACTTGAAAATCTCTATTTCCCAATCATCATTAGCATGCAAAGCAAAGAAACAAAAATCGGTAACATTGAAAAGGGAATAGTACCTTTAACAGGATCAATTTGTGAAAGATCAAGTTGGTCAATGTCAATCTGAGTATCAGAAACTTGAGACTTGTTCAATTTGAACCAAAAGGGTGATTTCCCGGACAAGCAGAAACGGTCTCCGAGTTCCAATTGACCCTTATCGAACTTGTTGAAGAGCTTAAGAGTTCCGTCATTGTTTTTCAAAACCCAAATGGGGTTTGTTCCGATGACTTGGAATGAAACCCTAGGAGCCCCTGACTCGGAGTCGTTCAGTTGGAATGAAACGTGACGGCGGGAAACAGTGTGGTCGTCGGTGTTAAAACCAGAACCTCGTCCGAAAAGTGCTTTTTCGCCACTTTCCAAAGGGATTTTGGAACCGTCTTCGCCTTCGAGCTCCATCCACGATTCTCCAAAACCATCTTTTGACTCCGGTTGCTAGCGGTAAAAAATAAATACTCTATTTTTTAAATATATTCTCACTTCTTCCATTTTGTCAAACAAAAAATAAACTATCAATTAATTTTATTCTTTTTTTTTTTATATATACAAACTATTAGTAATTTATTCTAAACTATTCATAACTCTTCAATTTAATTTCTAAATATACTAATATTATAAGCCATTAATATATAATATAAATTATATCAATTAATTATCAAAATATTAAAAATAAAATGTATATTTAGTTTAAGAACATCTTAATAATCTTATTGATGCAAAATCTGAATTGGCTAAAGATTTAATTGACTAAGCCTTAATTTATCTCAAATTCATTTTACTTTATCTTAGGTGTAAATCAGTTCACACTATAAGAACAAGGTACAATTTTTAATTTCTACTTTTGATATATTCATTTAAAAATTTGATTTTGAACTGATTTGTGCGTTGGGGTGCCAATCATACAAGTCCATCTACGCGCCAACTTAAAGGAGATCGAAGTCATTGTTCAATATCATAAGTTATTCCACTGCCTTCATTTTTTGTTCCTTCATGGAGTTAGAGCATCCATTTCTAGTTTCTTAAACAGAATAATGTCGTCGTCTGTGAGAATCGTTCCTAAGTTTTCTATGAAAATCGTATTCGCTTTGTAAAGACCATTGAACAAACTTAGAAGTTCTAAATCAAGGTTCTTACAGTTTCAAATTAAATCTCTATTTAGCTTATCACAACCTCCTTAGGCCCCCGAACAAACTTAGAAAAATAAATTTCCTTAGGATATTATCGTTTCATTGGAGATTCTCCAGGTCTTCAGATCTCTAATTTCTCTTGGAAACTCTACGAAGAAGAAATACCCTATATTCAAATTCGAAAGCACCAGAAAGTGAAATTGAATTCCTCGAAGATAACGGTGAAGAATCACACTCCATCTTTTGATCTAATACCACCGCTATCTCCCACAACCGACGTGATACTTGTCGTGGCAACACTAGAGATACTACAAGTTCATAGTTAACATCGAGTACATATCAAGTTTGGGGAACCTTTATACGTACTAGAGGATCTCCAACCAAGCGACGAGCCTACCTCGTGTCAAATCTAGTGTCCCCCTTATTGCTTGGCTCAGTCTTATCAACAAAGACCGACCTTGCGTATCAAATAGAGAGTTGAAAAATCTGCTCAAGGCTTAGATAACCTGTCAAGCTAATCCTCTTGATCATATATGCAAAAGTGAAAAGGATACACCGGCCACAGGCTACAGACAAAGGCACCCCGGATCTCAACGACTCCCTTTAATCATTGCTCAGCCTCACCATTCCAAAGGAAAGACTCGAATCAGAAAGTTTTCGTCCCAAGGAATTTCTCCTTCCCCAAGAAGCAAAAGCGCCCCGCCAAAGCATTAGACAGAGCAATTTGACAGACATAAAGTATAAACGATCGTCTTTTAACTACTCCTTGGAGAAGTCGGCCTTCCATTTTCATCCACCCAGTCATACTCTGATACATCTAGTCGACTTCGAAGATTCAAGTGCTTCAGCACCTCACTGTTTCTCGACTCAGAACCAATTATTCACAGACGGGGCTGAATGAAGTCTAGTGCATTCATTCATTTGCAAATTGGCTTGTACCTCATCTTCCGACAAGAGGGCGGGGGCATGTGGTGTTGGAATTAATTATAAAGTATTCAAACACGTGGACCTCAGGGCGATGTATTATTCTGCTAACATTCAATATACATGCGTCTAATGATCCCGAAAAATAAGTCTTTTCCTACCAGGAGCATCTCGGGCTAATGGTGCTTAAGTACCAAGAATCAATTGATCACGAATGGGTGCCACATTAAGAATGGTACGAATAATCATGTTGAATATTCCATATTTATTCTAATCTTGATCTTTATATATCTCTATTTGAGCCATCTAGATCAAATTATTGATATTTAATTGAGAAAAGATCCAGAAGTTACTTGGTTCCCCTTCAATGAAGAACCATATATTAGTAATCAATATGTTGTAGTGTTTAATATGGCACAAATAGAAACCTAAGAACACTACATTGTCATTGATAATGAAATTGGAAGAGCTCAAGGTGAAATGATCCTAGGTTGGGATCAAAATGCTAGAGTGAGCAAATGTTCCTCTTACGAAAGAGGGACTAACCAAAGAAATAGACGAAGCAATGAAAGTATAGCCTAGGTAATCTCCTCACTATAGACGTGGTTATGATTCTAGGAATGAAATGAAGATATTGTTAGAGAGAAAAATTCTATTTTGATGAAGGAAATGTAGAAAGAAACAAGAGAATTAGAAAAAGTTATTGTTTAAAAAAGTAATGAAACTCAAAGGTAAATGGTGTAAAGTAAGAAAGAGATATATTTACTATAGCTATTTATAAGGGGTTTCAAAAAAATATGAAGATTAATCTTGAGAAATCCACTAGAGGTATGTGGTTGTTGGAGGAAATCAAATGTATGTTGTAGTTATCTTTTCGTAGGTTGAGATGGAGTTTATAACGATTAATTTTTTTTTTAGTTTTCAATAAAATGGTGATATTGATAGTAATTACTAGTTACACCACACAATCTCATACCTCAATGTTATTTATTACTTAAAGTGTTAACTAGAATCGAGAGACAAGTGATTTGAAGGTTAACTAAAGGTTCCTTCGCTAAAACAAGATCAATAAGATACAAATACAGTGGAATATAAGCTAACTTGGTCTTTCTTAATATATCGAGAATTTATGATGGTGGTCGCCAAAACTCTAGACTAAGTCGAAATACAGTAAGATTATATAATTAAACTTTATCGTCATATTTCAATTTTGTAGCACCACTAACTAAATATGACAAAATTATAAAACTATAAAAAAGTTAAGCATACATGAACTTAGTCAACAAACCACACTAAGAAACATACAACATCTAATCAAATGTGGGTTGTCATGTATCTCAAAATAGAAAGAATATTCATGCATTATTCACGTAACTAGTTGAATGAGACATCATTTGTTATTGAAATGTTATGGCGAGTAGAAGAATTTCTTTTATAAATATCATATATTGTCAATCGATCAAACTACTTATATGCTATTTTTTCTTTTCTTATATATATATATATATATATATATATATATATATATATATATATATATATATATATATATATATATATATATATATATATATATATATATATATATATATATATATATATATATATATATATATATATATATATATATATATATCCAGGAACAATGTTTCTTTCTCAATGGAGATAAAAATAATCCTTATTAAAATCTATCAACCTAATTTCAACTAAACTTTAAGAATAAAAAATAAGAAAAATTAATCATATTAGTAAAGTTACCTAGTGTACTCATATATTCATTTTTACTCTATTTTCGAATTTATTTCTAAGGCAAATCTTTATAAATTACTCTAAATTACTAGTATTGAGTAAATAATAGAAAATTTTACTCAAATAACCCACTTTTTAAAATAAATACTCAAACTAATTCATTTTTTCATTTATTTTTCAAATTAATTCAATTTTAAAAATAATAAAAATTTAATAAAGAAAAGTCATCAATCCAATTAACAACAGTGTACAAACACATGAGAGCAGTCTTCAATTCAATTGACAATGGTGTACAAACACAAAAAAAAGAAAATATACATTATCGCTAATTAAATTGACGATTACTCTCATGTATTTATACACTATCGCCAATTAGATTGACAACTCTTATTTATTAAATTTTTATTTTTTTAAGTGAATTAGTTTGAAAAATAAATAAAAAAATGGTTTAGTTTGAGTATTTATTTGGAAAAAAATAGATTATTTGAGTAAAAGTTTGTAAATGATGAATGATTGTAATAACTTATTTGGTCTTTGGTTTTTTCTATGTCATATGATGGCTATCTATAATCTATTTATCTGTCTTACATGAAGAATACACCTCCATTTTGATCCCCTTATAAATTGGATTAGAAAGAAAAAAATAGGAAGTGGGGATAACATAAGTAACACAAGAATTATGGCTAGTTTGGCGAACTGCAATCACTTTGCCATTCATCGTCTCCCATCTTCATTTTCCACTGCCATCGCAACTCATTGCAACTCTCCGCGCTTCTCTCGCCACATTTTCAATGTCTCTGCTTCCTCACAACCTCAACAACTAGGTACCTAACTTCTGTACTTTCCCCCCCTTAAATTCAACTCTAAAATTCATCTAGATACTTTTGTTTTCAGGGTTTGAGACCCCTCCACGGGTTGGCTTTTTGGGCCTCGGAATCATGGGTTCTCCAATGGCACAAAATCTCATCAAAGCTGGGTACCTATTTTCCATCCTAACCAATTGAATTTCAAGTGTATTAAAATTAACACAATTTTTCCTAATTTGTCCTGGGGTTTAGCGTTGATTTGACGGTTTGGAATAGGACCAAGAGCAAGTGTGATGCTCTAATAAGCTTGGGAGCTAAGTAAGGATTCACCTTTCCATTACTTGCACTTTAAACAAGACGAAATAAACTATAAATTTCAAATTGTGTGTTTCAAAACATATGCATTTTCTTTCCGCAGATATAAGTCATCTCCCGAACAAGTAGCCGCATCTTGTGATCTCACATTTGCGATGCTTGCTGATCCTCAAAGTGCCGTGCGTATACATTTCTGTTTGATTTTTAAACCTTATATATACGTTATGAGAGTTAGTTATATTTGTTCTATTTGATATATCAGATGGATGTTGCTTGTGGCAAGTATGGAGTAGTAAATGGAATGGGTCCTGGAAAAGGGTACTACTATATTACATTCAACTGTATTTTCAATATATTGCGACAATTTCACAGATGATAGAAATTCAAATGAATTTTGATACCTCTATATGTCCATTACTTGTCTATCTGTACTTGTCAAGACATTGCATATATTTCGTTGCAAGCTTAACATCTTATA